ATTCAGCCGCTGTTGAAACTGATCAGTTTCAGCAGCGGCTGAATCTGGACGCCAGTTCCGACTTACATACAGATTCAACTTAAGAACAAACCTACAGTCCCTATCTTGAACGTAACCCGGGGACTGCCTGTATAGCATCCTTTCATGGGTGAAAGTTCAGTGGAGAATGGAACGAGTCCCAAGAAAACTGGACAAAAGAGAGCCCACTGGTGCTTTAGCATGATCTACCCTTGCCAAAGTGACAAGTGCAGAACTAGAAAATCTGGTTGTTTATATATGTGTATCTGAAGAACATGATCAATATTAACATTAAATTTTAAGTTGTAGTGGTCAAAGAGATACCTGAAAGTATTTATAATATGCATAGTCTACTACAGTTCCCACGGCAGTTCTCCTTCCCTGGCTAAGTGTAATTGGCATCAGCATATCTGCACCAGCCTCAATTAGCTTATCAACCTGGAGAAAGAAAACAAAACACAGAACAAAACTGAACATCCTGTTTTTTATATTTTCCAACCAAACTGTAATTTCCTGTTATAATTAAACTGAAAGGATTGATCACCAGATCCTGATATCTATTTGTGCACATGTAACGGAGAGCATAATTTCTTCACATAAACACCTGTGTGAGCAAGTGAAAGACTCTAATGATGAGTTTTCACGTGACACAATGGGTTTTGCATGTGAAAAATTCCAACACCCATATAGGCAAACATAGCCCTGATTCCCAGGGATATCAATCTCATCTGATCCTACTTCTGTTCTATGGAAACCCTTCTTCCTTCCAATTGTTTATCTGGAACCCTGAAAGTTACAATACAGTAAAACATATACATGCTGATCAGGGCTATATTAAGAATGTGGCTTGCATCTGCCTCATATGAAATGCAAAGGAATCAGGAAATCCCACAATTCATCTGTTCCTGCATTTTTATTGCTCACCAGACATCAATCCTGCTTGTGATATGACAACTGGCTGCTGTAAAAATGATTATGATGTCAAACAATGACTGCAAGAGAGGCAGACCTTAGAAAGGTGGAATTCCTTCTAGAGAGCAAGAGATGAGAAATACAGTCAACGGTACACAAAATTCTACGTATGTAGTTGCAGATTTATGCTGTTTCACAAGTGTCAATGAGGAACAGTCATTTCCCAAGTACTTCTTTTATTATTTTAGCTTCCTCTTGTTTTCCCCGTCTTCCTTAGGAAGCTTAAAAACCAATGTTCAAAGGACAAAACTAAACTTCTTCTCTAAAAAACAACAAATAGTCTGGTAGCACTTTAAAGACAAACAAAACATGTAGATGATATCATGAGCTTTCGTGGGCACAAGCCCACTTCTTCAGATGACTGGAGTGTTGGAAGTCTAGAACCAAGAATAAATAAGGAAAGGGGGGGGGAATTGAAGGGTAGGGGGTGGGGGAAAAAGAGGACATTGGGTAGGTAAATTTCAAAGGGATAGCTGATCCAGTATGAAACAGGAAAAACTTAAAAAACAACAAATAGCACCTTTAAAGACTAAATAGTTAAAAGAGGCTGATAAGAACCATTAGTTTGCACTGGGAAAGGAAGAGTACTAACACCAGATTCTACACAGACATCAAGAACCATTGGCACCTTCATTGTTTGGTTGGTTGATAATGTGTGAACCATCCGATATCATGATTTTCGTGACGAGTGTAACACAATTTTCCCCTCAGCATAACACAAACAGCTGCATTTAAAAATATGGCAGTTACTTACAATGAATCCCGCATGTGGGAGTGGACTCAAGTTAACCACAGTTGCTCACCATATTTCAAACATGACTTGTCCCTGTGTACAGGAGGCAAGTGACACCATGCTAGTTAAAACATGTGCACATGGTTTCCAAGGCAGTTCATTTTCCCAGCGCAGAATCAGAACAGAAACAAAAGGAATTGGCAGTAGAATCACTGAGTTACTACAGAAAAAAATCTGCATCACTGAAGGCTGAGGAGAGAGAACTGATTCACAAAGAAGAACTAGCATTCCACACACCTGCTAGGAATATAAGACCAGCCATACTGGGTCAGACCAACAGTCCATCCAGCTCAGTATCCTGTCTGCTGACAGTGGCCAACGCCCCAGAGGGAGGGATCGCAACAGGTAATCCTCGTGTGATCTCTCCCCTGTCACCTACCTCCAGAGAAACACAGGCTAGGGACACCATTCCTACGCAGCCTGGCTAATAGCCATTGATGGACCTAACCTCCATGAATCTATCTAGTTCTTTTTTGAACTCTCTTGAAGTCCTAGCCTTCACCACATCCAATGGCAAGGAGTTCCAGAGGTTGACTGTGCAGTGAGTGAAGAAAAATTTACTTTTGTTTATTTTAAACCTGCTGACTATTAATTTCATTTGGTAACCCCAAGTTTTTCTATTGTGGGAATAATTAAATAATTTTTCCCTATTCACTTTTTCCACACCTGTCATGATTTTATAGATCTCTATCATACCCCCCCTTAGTCTCCTCTTTTCTAAGCTGAAAAGTCCAAGTTTTTTAATATCTCTCCCGTGCCAAACCACTAATAATTTTTGTTGCCCTTTTCTGAACCTTTTCTGAACAAGTTAATTGGAAAAGTAAAGTTGAAAACAATATATGTTTTCTTACCAATAAAATCCTGTTTGCTGTGGTCCTCTTTTGTTCATATGTAGTACTGACAGCAGCACAAAGGGCACTACCTAAGCCTTTGCTTAATGGAAGATTGGGGTCAGCGCCAAACGCCAAGAGCTCTGTCACCGCCTGCAAACGGGCACAGTAAATATGAAAAATAAATGAATGATGATGTCATCCTAGACAGTATTACAGCAGGACTGTGAGATCCAAAATGTACAACTATAGCTGTGTCAACACTTCACAGTGTTTAAAATAATCTCTCTGGAACGCACATGAGTATTTCACAGTAACTTAAAGACAGAAAATCATATCTAATGTCGGTCTATGAGAATAGTTTTGCACTTGCTTTGTGTTGCATTTTTAGCATGATAAAAACCACAGCTCCATACTGAATAGCCACGTGTCAAGTGCTTCCCAGCGTGACACGTGTCAAGTGTTAAAAAAGCCATCTGCTGTTCTGCTTTTCTAACTACAAAGCCTGGGTTCTGCCAGAAAAGCAGGACTATGCCAGCAGTATATGTACTGCACCTGACAGACAGGTTCATAAAACTCCATGACTTAGATTTCAGACGTTTCAAACATGAGACTGAATTCTGTTCTTTTAACCCAAACAGCGGCTATTAGCCCAGAACAGAAGCTCTTTCTAAGCCAGAGGAATCTTAACAGGCCCCTTTTATTCAATTATTTTCCCTTTAGTAACCAGTGTAAGACTTCCACAAGCCCCCTGTCTGATGATCAAAGATGTCTTGAGAAAAGCCTGGGTCAGACTTTCTATTCATGGGCTTTGGACACTGCATGGACTCTGGGAGACCATGGACACTGTAACTGGCCTCTTACAACTCAAGGTACTCAGGCATGATTTTTCTGATTTCATGTTATCTCTTGCTTAGCACTCCCGATCTGTCATCTGTGTCGGGGTGGGCAATAATTTTTGATGGGGGGGGGGCACTCCAAAAATTTGGTAACTGGTCAGGGGCTGCATTTTTCTACAATATTAATGGAGGAGAGTGCAAGGTCTGGAATCAAGGTTAGGTACAGGCGGGAGCTCTGGGCAGGAGATTGGGGTGCAGGGTCTGGACAAGCGTTTGGGTTCAGGAGGGGGTGGTGCGGCAGGGGGACAGTAGCGGGGGGCAGTTTGGATACAAGGTGCAGAGGGGTTTGGTGCAAGAGGGGGTTGTGACCTGTGGCATGGATTGGAGTAGGGGAGGGATGCCAGGTGTAAGTTTTGGCCAGAAGGCACTTACCATTGGCAGCTCCTGGCCAGTGGCCCAGCAGGACCCTCAGGCAGACTCCCTGACTGCCACGCTGTCCCGGAAGATGGCTGCTGGGCCTGCGTGTGTGTCTCTGCATGGTGTGCCCTTGGAAACCAGCCAATGGGAGCTGTAAGGGCAGTGCAGCACGCAGAGACCCGCTGCTACCCTCCTCACAAGGGGCATGCACAAAAGCTGATACCCAAATAAATCTGTTAGACTTTAAGGAGCCACCAGACACCTCATTCTTTTTGCCAATATTCTCTTGCTTCTGAAATCAGCCATGTTTTTCCCTTTCTTAGTAAGCTATGGCTATAATAAGGGTGCTAACAAAGTAGCTTCCTTTGCATTTCTTTGTCTATTTAATTTTTAAAAATTGAAATCCAGCCAAGGAATCTCCCTCAGATAAGAACTTCCTGTGCTCTGCTTCAGGACTAACTTAAGCCCTTTTTATATAATGAAAATCAAGAGATCTCTAATTCAGTAATGCCCAAATTCATTCCTTTCATAGAGTAATTCAAAACTTTATATTAAAATCTAGAAACCTTCCCTTTTCATTTTACTGCAACTAGCAGTCACTTTAATTAACAGAGAAAATCATGAGAAATGAGCCCATCCGCGAATACCTCCTGGATCAACTGTGGGATTTTTTAAAGTATTGTCCTATTGTCTTTACTAAATGCAAAATTCATATATGTGCACTTTAAGGACAGCAGATTTTAGTAGCACTCACGCTATAATTACAACATCACATTCAGATCTCCAGAGAGTCTGCAAGGACTGTATTCTAGAGGCACAGACGTCCCCCAGCATGGGCAATTATAACTGAATATATTCTAACTATCCCAGGTTCAAACACACGCTAATGGGAGAAGATGAAGAGCTGGGAGGATCCAGATCATGAAGAATCATCATTTCAGTGACTGAAATGTTTGCTCTCACCTGCTTATTAAAATTGCTTATTTCCAAAGTTTTAATGCCTGGAGAGTGAAGCTATATGGAAATTGTATAAAGGGCACACTCGGTTCAGCCCTTTCAGATGTTAGTGGTTTTGATCATCTCAAACCCAACTGTCTGAAATAGAAACTGCATTATTGGATCAGACCAGTGAGCCAACTATTCCCCGGTGTCCAGCCTCTCGGAGCAGCCAGCATTATCTAATATCAGAAGATACAAGTAGTAACTCAGTGGACAGTTACAGAACAACCTATTCACAGGGGAAGATTCTTCCTAATCCCATCAGTTAGGGGCTGATTTAAGACGCAGAAGTATGACAGTTTATGTTCTTTAACATTTCCAGGGTATTCTATAGTGTAACTGAATGTTCTCACGAGCCATAACAGATGGATATTTCTTTCTGAATCCTGCCAAGCTCATAGCCACTAATCCACGAAGAGAACTGATACAGGGGAAATTCAGATTTGTAAGAAAAGTAAATCTAGATACAGGCAGACCCCGGGTTATGTACAAGATAGGGACTGTAGGTTTGTTCTTAAGTTGAATTTGTATGTAAGTCAGAACTGGTACATATTGTAGGGGAAACTCTAGCCAAACATTTCTCCAGAGCTCAGTTTTATTCTCCCACACCTCACTTCCCTCAGTCCTTTATTCTCAAGCTGAGGTGTCTGCTGAGAAAAGCCGCTCCACGTCTCTCTGGTCTGCTGGGGGGGGGGGATTCTATATTCGCGTCTCCCTGGTCTGCTGGGGGAAAGCAGCTAGTGCGGGGTTGCCTCACCCCGTTTGTAAGTAGGGATCCGATGTAAGTCGGATCCATGTAACCCGGAGACTGCCTGTACTTTTATTGGAAAAAAAATCTGGGTCACCCCATGATGTAAGCCATCTTGGCTCTGATTGGGGAAGGAATTAAAGCAAAAACTAACTAAGTAAAAAGGAATTAGACGATGCTCACCAAGTCGTTCCCACTGGCAATTGCCAGAGAAAGTGGTGAATGGCCACTCCACAAGGTGTTAGGATTTGCCTTATGAGTTAAGAGGAGGCGGACAACATCTCTGACATGCTGAGTAGGAGGGAAAACGGTAGAATTAGACAACAAAAAAGAAAATCAAGACATGAAATTTATGAAAAACAAGCGCATTAAACCCTTGCTATAAACACATACAAGGATTACATTTTAAAAAATTAAGATTGTTAAGGTTATATCCTTAACCCTCAAAAGCTGGGAACTATGAAAATTAATCAATTAATTAATGCCCCTTCTGCATAGACATTAAAATTCAATCTTTATTTACACGATCACATACTGTTTTTTCCTCAGGGCCCCAGCCTGACTCAGTACCATGATGGACATGAATCTGAATGCTGCCCTGGAGAAACAGATTCTATTCCTGCCTATGCCACAAGGTTCCTGTGTGATACAGAGAAAGTGGCATAAGCCAAACTTGTCAAGAGGGAAGCCCTACATGAGAATTAACGTTCCAGGTGCCTGACTTGAGAACTTGGGGTCTTCTTGCAGAAGTGCTCTGCACTCAAAGCCACAACTGAAGTCAATGGAATCTGTGCTTGCCACACCTGGAGTAGGAGTAGGATCCTAGGTGCTCTGAGAATTCAGGTCTCAGTCATCTTAAATTGGGCACCCACAATTTTTTATTTTAAGCTCTCTTTGCCTCTGTTCTCCATCTGTAAAATGGGAATAACACCCTACATCTAACTCCATTCATATTTGAGAAGCATTCCAATATTAAAGTGATAAGTGCCACAGAAAATCCCATGGGGAAATGAATACTTCATTCATCACAGCAGGGTTTGCAGGCCCTAGACCGAATGAGGAGAAAAAGTAATGACTAAAAACTTCCTAAGTACATACCGTCCATTTGGTACACACAGTGAAGCAGGGGTCGTGTGTGTGTGTGTGTGTGTGTGTGTGTGTGTGTGTGTGTGTGTGTGTGTGTGTGTGTGTGTGTGTGTGAGAGAGAGAGAGAGAGAGAATATATATATATATATATATTCCTTGGCTTAATAAAGCACACTGTCAACAGAAATCCCAACATGTGGCTGCACTGGAAACACAGCCCTTCCTCCCCCCGCCGCATGCCTCATCAGCAGGGTTGGTACCATTAGATCAACTGCACAGACTGCTGCCATTTGAGCTAATGGAATAACTATTGATAGCAGCAGCAGACTGTAATCCCCTCTGTCAGCGGTTCCCAACCTTTTCCAGATGGGGACCCATTCTGACAATTCAGGAAGACTCGGTGACCCAAGGCAATTCAAAAACAGGGGGAGGATAAGGGGCAGAGTCACCTGGGAGACACTTGGTGACCCTTTTAAAATGTAATGGCAACCCATATTTGAGTCCTGACCCATAAGTTGGGAAACCCTGCCCTGTGTGGACCAGCAAGACGTCAGTGTAGGACACTTGTCAAGCAGGTTTCCTACATATCCGCTGGCCACAGAGTGGTGCGGCTCAGGGATTTTTATTCTGGAGGACAGTGTGCTCTCTGGTGAGCACAGACTCATCTGCCCATTCCTCCAGGCCTGATCCAGTCTGCCCCATCCCCTCCAATCTGTCCCCTGTCCTGTCTCTTTGCCCCAGTATTCTCAACCCGTCCCAGACTCCTTACCCAACAAATCTTAGTCTAATTGTTTTGATCTCCAAGTCTTCCCTTCATTCCTTGCACAGTATTCCCAGTTTTCCCCTCAATCCCCAGGCATTTAATCTCACCTGTCCCTCTCCATTCCCCCAGTCTCCAGCCATTCCCAGTAAAATTTCTAAGCACAGGACTGCAAGAGCTTTTCAAAGAAAGACATCACCAGAATATTTTAACATAGGCAAAAAAAAATCACTTATTTTTTCCATAGTCTCATTTTGTGAAATACATGAATCATTTGGGCTGAATAGTTCACAAAAGAATTCAGCCTGAAAGACACTCGGCATGGAAAATGTCAGCATAAATAGTTAGAAATATGACAAAGTTATGTACGTCTTAAAACAGGGTCTTCTAATGGAAAACATTAGGCAACCTTCATAACAGGCAGTGCTACCAGCCCCACCAGCAAAACAAAGACATGAAAAAAACCAACAACCCCCAATTTCAATCATATTTTCAATCAGAACAGATCCCTATTTAGCCAAGAATTTATAATTTATACCAAAGAATTTTAGGCTATGTTATAAATCTCTGAATACAGGAACTGACCATGTAAAAAAACCCAAAAGGGAGCTCAATAATACAGGTTGGCTATAAAAAAATGGTAATTTCTAAATACTCAATAGCTTCAAAACAACTTTAGAAGAAAAACGGACTGAATAAAGCAATCAGCAATCAGCTCCTGAAAGGACACAATATATGCAACGTAATGCATCCTGGCATAGTAAATGCGACTTTTTCACATTTGCTAAATTGCTCAGGGACAGTTATCAAAAGTAATTAAGAAGGTTTCCATTGCTAAATTGGAAACCTTTACATCATTTCTATTTAAAGTTTGCTTTAAGGCAAGACATTAAAAAAAGTCAAAAGTCAAAATATGGAGCTATGTGACAGAATCCCAATATGTAGAACCACAAGATCAAAGCAGAACAGAATATCAGAGAAAGAAAATGAAATATAGTAGGTGACAATGTATAATGGAAATCAATCAGTTATGGCTTGTCTTTTGGGAAAGGCAGTATGGAGGGGGATTTTAACTCCAGAACTGTACTGGAGTTCTGATAATTTTAGTGCTAGACAGATCAAATAAATAAACAAACACACATACGCACACAAACAGGCTGTGTCTAGACTGGCCAGTTTTTCCGCAAAATCATTTGCTTTTGCGGAAAAACTTGCCAGATGTCTACACTGGCCGCTTGAATTTCCGCAAAAGCACTGACGATCTCATGTAAGATTGTCAGTGCTTTTGCGGAAATACTATGCTGCTCCCGTTCGGGCAAAAGTCTTTTTCCGAAAAACTTTTGCGCAAAAGGGCCAGTGTAGACAGCAGAGATTTGTTTTCCGCAAAAAAGCCCCAATCGCGAAAATGGCGATCGGGGCTTTTTTGCGGAAAAGCGCGTCTAGATTGGCCACGGACACTTTTCCGCAAAAAGTGCTTTTGTGGAAAAGCATCCTGCCAATCTAGACGCGCTTTTCCGAAAATGCTTTTAATGGAAAAGTTTTCCGTTAAAGCATTTCCGGAAAATCATGCCAGTGTAGACGTAGCCACAGAGTTTAAAGACCCTGATTCAATCTACCAAACTAAACATTGCCACTGATTCAGGTTGTGCCTACAAGCATCTGAAAGTCTTCATAATGCAGGATTTGGCCACGACAGAAGGGTAGGGTTGCCAGATGGTTTAACCAATAATACCCAGCTCCCAAAAAAAAACAAACACCGGAAAAAAATTCTGTTGAGACAAAAAAAGGGGGGAGAGACCAAAGTTGTTAAGAAAAAAAAATAGGACCCCAACAGCAGTTATTAAGCAAAAATTAAAAAATAAAAAATTAGCATGGCCCCTTTAAGAAGAGGTTTTTTTGCTGGCGGCCATCTTGTTTTTCTGGTCCAGCCACAAAAAAGATCCCGTGCGGAACCAGGTAAGCAAGTGGGTGGGGGGCTGGGAGCTGGGCCCGGATGCTGAGTGTGTCCATAGGTTTGCCAGGTGTCCAGTAAAAAAAATTAGAAAATACTGGACATTTTAGATGTCTGGTATTTTCTGAATTTTCTTACCGGACAGGAGATGAAAATACCAGACTGTCCGGGTCAATACCAGACACCTGGCAACCCTAGGGGCAGTCTCTGGAGTTCAGACCCCTGGCAACCCTACAAAAGGGAGGAAGAGAACAAACACAAAGGAGCTGGTTCAGGAGGGGCAGTCCTATTAACATGGTGCAGTAGCTAGGATTGCCAGGTGTCCGGTATTCACCCGGGCAGTCGTGTATTTTCGCCTCCTTTCCGGTAAAAAATTTCAGAGAATACTGGACACCAGAGATGTCCGGTATTTTCTTAATTTTTCCCCAGTCAGGAGGCGAAAATGCCAGGCACCTGGCAACCCTACAAACACTCAGCGCCTGGCCTCCCA